TTTAAAAACTCCATCCTTTCAAGATCGGTTTAGCACTTTTCAATGCTAAACAGCCTTCACAAACCACTCCAGCACTGGGAATTCCTATAGCACTCAAAGCCTTACACCATATTTCTATACTTGGGCACAAACTGCCTCAGTGACATGATACCACTTTTGTTATTGCTCTGAATTTTTTATTCATTTCATGTATTAGGATTTAGCTGTTTACAGGTCACTTTTCTAATGACATCAAGAACTACTCAAAGACACATTATATAGGTATATATATATCTAAAGACCTATAAAACCATGTTTCACACTTTTTTTTTGATATTTCTACTTTTCCCACAGTACTTCCATACCTTCCCCATGCTTGGTATGGTACAATCCTATGTATATTGTATACTTAATGTTTCCTGATAATTTAAAAAATTCAATTTATGCTACTGTTATATCTTCCAGTAATATAAAATTTTCAGAATTTTAAGTTTTTCAGGTAGAAAAATTTAGCAAAACCAAAAGAGAAATGGAGAAAAAAAGTCTAAGAAAAACATAAATGCCAGTGGAGTATGCCAACAGGAAAAAAATCAACATAAACTTCAAAATTTATAATGTTTGGAGAAACAAACTGATGTGTAGATACTTAAAAAATATTATATTATGGAAAACTGCAAGTGGTTGTTAAAGAGAACCTATTTTGCATTTATATTTGAATTTCAATAGAACTGCTTTGAATTGCTACTTTATTGATAAGTGAAAACAAGTTCTTTTATGACAAGTTATAAAAGCTTATAGTTTATCATTTCCCTCTCCACCCTGCAATTATCTACAGGAAGAGATTGGCCATGGATTCTATTTTATGAGCTTTATAGGGGCCCATTCACCCCAGTTTACATACTATGAATTCTTGGAAAATGCAATAGATTGTAGAAAATAAAGTGCTTCCTTTGAATAAAGGACATTTCACTTGAACTCATGTATACATATCTACATATAAGCTGTCCCGAATATTACGTTAAAATATGAAATAGCCATATATTTCATGAATATATGTATAAAGAATGCAAAAGTGTAATAGTGCAATAGGTAGCAATCTTGTGAATCTACAGAATGGGCTAAACAATGATAACAATCTAACAACAATAACAACCCAACAGTTGTTGAGTAAGTACAGATACTATATAACCTAAGAGACAGGATAAAATTTAATTTGTATGATTCAGATCAGTATATTTATGAATAAGTTTAGTGTTAAGGGCAAACAACATTACAAATATCTCAGAAATATTTCAGAATAACGAAATAAGTCCAAAACATATTAAAGTTTACTACTGATGAAAAATCATGTGACAAAAATTCATTCAGCCCTTAGAAAACTTGAAGGATAACTGCAGAAGGAATAAATAAATAGTTTTAAAATTGGTCTTATAAATATGAAGCATAATGAATCAAAATTTAAATTTTCAATCAGGTTAGGATGTTTTAAATTCTAATAATTAAAGGAATACTTAACACAAATGGCAAGTGTTTCATAGTTGGTGTAATCCTGATGAGACACTCTGGATTTTATTTCAACCTGTTGTAATAGATGTGTAGACTTCTGTGAAAATGCAAGCTTTAATTTTATATACTGCCCCAAAATCCCTCTATTAGGAGTTACAGGGTCACTGAATAAAAACTAAAAATATTGACATTAGCATTACAAGTTTGGAATGTAGGAGCTTTACAAAAATTTAAGTTATTCATTCAAATAGGCCATATTGATGTCATTTGAATTTTATCATATTAGTTTTCACTGGAAGAAATTCAAAAACAATACTCCTCAAGATGCTAAAAATTATGTATTCAGTATGGCTTATCATGTTTCAATGTCTTTTACATGTATATTAATTCTGCCAGAAAATATGAAAAGCTATGGGATTTGCCATGCATATGACTGTATACTGAAAGGTAGGTATGTTTTAACTATGTTCCTGGGGGAATACTTCCTTATCTAGTTGCCATTTCTCTTTGATTTGCAAATAAGTCCTTCATTTAAAGTAAATACGGGACTCAAACTTGTGCTGACTTAACAATTAACTAACTTTACACCTGCCTTTTAGGGTTCAGACAATAACCTCTGATTAATCTGAGGCTGATATTATCCTTAACTTACCATAGGCGATAAGCAGGTGCAGAAGGACTAATTCTTAAAGTGGCATGATGTAAGTCTTTATAATCTAATATGATTGTCTCATGTCTTATTTACTCTTCCTATTATCAATAGTACAATGTCTGAATGAATATCATTCAGGACAAAAATTAGTGAAAGAAACCCACACATTTAACCATCAAATCTGACCTAGGAAATTAGGTATAAAGAAAATAAAGCAATATCTATAATATATGAGCAGGCCACATAGGTTACTAACAGAAGAGAATGACTATCAGTCTGATGTCCAATGTCTCTTCTGCAATACTAAATGCCAGAATGCAAAGATAATCAATTTCTACAATGTTTTCAGGGAAAAGGTATGTTCAAGTAATTAAAAATCTTGGCAAGCTAATAGTAAAGGCAACTGGCAAGTATTTAAACATAATTTAAATAATAATAACTCAGATAATTCACTTCCTGTGTTCTAATTCTTGAAAAAAAAAAAACCCTAGAAAATGTACTCTAAGGTATGAATAAAATTAAGAGCTCAGCATGCTACAAAAATTAAGTGGTTATAAACAGTTAAAAATAGAGGTTCAATTCTTTTTAATGAAGGGGATGGTCATGCCATATGGAGATTTTTTTTTTTTTTTTAAGTTTCCATCAAAGGCATCTCAAAAACAAATGTGGTACTATTTGTAAGAAAGAAAAAAAATCTCAAACAAAAAAAATCAAAGTTCATGTAATAAATGAAAAATAAAAAGGAAATAAAAAGAGAGTGAGAGGTGACATGGAACAAAGGGACAGAGGTGGTTTTGTTCTCAGGCTGATCTTTATTTACTGAAGAAACACTGCATTATATTACAGTACTACAGAATCAAACTCAAGTTTGATTGACCATAACCATATGTTTACCGAAAACTTCATTCAGAATTCCAACTTGGAATGTTAAGAAACATCTCTTTCCTTTGAAAACAGGTCTGATAAATTCTCATTTGCTCATTTCCCTCACCCATTTAATGGCTGCAACTAGCATCTAGCACTCCCCTAGAACCACCATTCATGGCAGTATTTGGAGCAAGGGGGATGTGGGCATGAAAATGGGGAAAGAAGCAAGCTGGGAATTGGGAGTTAGGCCTGGGGTTGAGAAGTCACTCAGGGTCCCAGCCTCAGCTATTGTAAAATCCTGGCTCACTCCTTTTCCGTTTTTTTTCTCAGGCTCCAGTAGAGACTTAAATCACGGTATCTGTTCTTTTTGGGTCAGTAGAATACAAAGTATGGGGATACAAAATCCCACTTTGATAAATTTTTAGAGAGACTCCTTTTTTTCTCCCTAACTTAGACATTTTCTTCTCTTAAGCCCTTTAAAGAAAATAAAAGAATATTGGTTCAAGGATGGGAATTAAGTAAAATTACATTTCTGTGAAAATCAGGCTTTACCTGTCCTAATCTGGGACCAGAGGGCACTGGGTAATAATAATGAGCAGACTTGTGATTCTATTTAGAGGTTATGGAGAAAGGGCAAAGATTAAGTGTTGGCAAGCTGGGGACTGTTGGGGAGACAGGCAGTAATATCCTTAGTTTATAGTAGAGGCACAGAAAAGGAAGAGCAGCTAGTCCTTCCTCAGAAAAACACATCAAAAAGGACTGAGTATGTTATTCAGATACATTAAAATCATAAATTTTTCTGAATTGCTATTCCTTAATTTTTTAATACTAAGGAATAAAATTTATATAATGTTATGGCTATTCTTTTAGCATACTTTCTAAAGGATAACTGATACATACTACAGTCAAGTACTTTTTAATGATTATGCTAATTCCTCATGTACTGGTCTTTTCTGGAGTCCCACATATTAAGTTATCAAACATCTTAAATCAATCACTGGGATTTGTTACAAATAGAAAATAGAGTTAATTTGCTACTAAGGCATATGTTAATCATCAACACAATTCAAATATTTTAATATTATCTTTATTTTCTTAAAATTGGTACAGTTTGAATATCCCTAATCCAAAAACCTAAAATCTGAAATGCTCCAAAATCCGAAACTTTAAGAGCATTGACGTGACTTTCAAAGAAAATGCTCACTGGAACATTTTGGATTTCTAATTTTTGGCTCAGGTATGCAGGAAATGTAACACAAATGTTCCAAAATTTGAAAAAGACCAAAATCCAAAATGCTATTGGCCCCAAGGATTTTGGATAAGGGATACTCAGCCTCTACATTATCAAATCTTTCTCACAACACGAAATGAAGAATCACAGGAAGTACCTGGAAGACTTATGAATACAAAGGATAAGAAATAAGAGTAGAATTAGGGAATGTACAGTATACTCTATATCATCTTATGAGGTGTTCAACAGCAAACTAGCAACTAATATATGTTTCACATAAATATTATATTCAGAGACTAAAAGGGAAATCTAATTCTCTTCCTTCTATTAATACAATTAAAAATACAGTAAATAGATGCTATTAATTGTTATATGCCTTTTGTTGTTTGATAGTAATAGAAGACAGATAAAAGGTAAAACTTCAGTTCTATAATAATAAAGCAAAATAACCTATAAGAGAAATGAAGCATAATGACCTTTTTTCACTATTAGAAAACATTCACTTTAAATAATTATGCTAGTGCACAAAATAACATTCATTTTTAGAAGAGTTAAATTAATTTGCATAAATATTTATATTACTTTATCAAATCTACAAAATATTTCTAAGTTAACAATATTAATATGAACAAATCTTATAGGGATATAACTTTTGGCAAAAAAGAGGTTGTAAGAGTTTTCTACAATAGCTTTGTGAGTGACTACAACCAGTATTATTCTGCAGTTTCTTAACACTTTTAACAATTCAGCAACAGACTGTCTTACCGTTGGTGCTGTATCCACCTGATGGTTATAAGGCTTTCTTTCCATGCTGATAAACCCTATGGAAAGAAAACATTGTGAATATTTGGTTATTAAGCTTGTCCCCATTTTATGTTGAAAATATTTATGCCATTTTATTGGAAAAACATTTATTATGACTCACAGAGCTTACAAGAAAAAAGTCTCACTTGGAAGGCAGGATCCTTTTAAGCTGTATCATGAATTCTTTGGTCAGAAACAGTTGGTGAGTTTAGCTACACTGACTCAAGGTTGGCTAGGCCATTTTTCCCATTCAAATGATGTCTAGCAATAGCGCAAGATGTGTCCATACCCTGTTCTCAGCTCAAAAATTACTCCATTATCTGGGTCCTGCTGCTTTTCTTCCATGAAAGTTTTATTTCTCATTCAAAGATACAAAAGAAATATCACAAGGGCTATGAAGTGAATCACCACTGTCTTATTTTCTCAAAAGAATAAATAAATCTATCTGAATTTTTCTTTGATCATCTGACTTCCTACTACAACATATTCTATTTACTCAATACCATGAGTATCTGAAGAAAAAGTTTCCCTGATTCCCTCCTTTAAAATGATAACACAGATGGCTAATCTTGAAATACTCTTTTATCATGTGTGGATTTATCTTTTTGTTCCCAATGCTCTCTACTGCATTTCTTTAAACAGCCTTTCAGGATGTGACACGGGGCATCTCATCTGTAAAGATACTGGTTCAAAGTCTAACTCAAGTTAAAAATGAACACAGGTGTGGGTCTTGTTTAATTCCTAATTTCTGTCCACCAGCAAACTAACATGTAAATTAAGATATTAATACAGTTTGTTCAAGTAATGCTAAAGGCTGTCATATGCAGGACTAGTCCAAGGTGAGAACTACAATGTCTGTTAACAGCAATTAGCAAAATTCCAGTTTAAATGTTAGTTCCTCTTCTACAAGTCTATGACTCATTTTTCTTAAAGTATGGTAAGGGATTAGGTGAGATCAACACAAACAATCACTTTCTATCACTTTGCAAGGGTATTTTCAAAATGAATCATGAAACATGATTAAAGTAACGTAGTTTTTCTTTCATTAATTTTTTTAACATTTATTGTTAGCCAGTGAAGTATGAAGCACTATACTACCTTCATTCAATAAACTAATATTATTGAGTAGTTATTCTTGGTATTCAGTGATAAAAAGATGAATATATTACAGTTTCTAACTACAAGAGTCTAGTAAAACACGGATATCTTTTTTTTGAAGAACTACCACAGAGCAAATGAACAGTTTCATCTTAAGTGTAATAAAATCTTTCAGGTAATTCTGATGGAAAGACACTCTTATGCATAGAGTAACACTGATTTTGGGTTAATTTTTTTTTTCAGAGGGTAAAACATGCACACAAATACTCAAATAATGTAGACTCCTATTGTAAGATTTTAACAATACAGAAATATACAGAGAATAAATTGTGAAATCTCAACTTTGTCAGCCCCCGCAGTCTCACAATCCTAGCTGCAACCACTGAGAACAGGATTGGCACACTGGCTTTAAAATGAGAGTGGTCATGCCAGAGTTTAGGAATTAGCAACATCTTACAAGTGTCTTCTCACTATTGTAATCTGACTGCTCTAAAATTGACCTAGGCTGATTACTGATTTTTAAATTCTTATCTAAATAGAAAGTAATTTTAATTGGAGAAAAGGAACTTTAAAATAATGAAAACCAAAACAAAAAAAACAGGCAAAAATCTATATCCACAGTTTATACAATCATAAGAAAAAAAAAAAACTCTACAGATTTTAGAGTTTCAATTTTAGGATAAGAACGTGTTGAAAATTAGAAATTCAAAAAGTGGATTATCCAAAGTTATAATCTTAGTTTTAAATTTAGATTACATAAAAGAAACAGTCATTAGAGTGAATGGGCAACCAACAGAGTGGGAAAAAATTTTTGCAATCTACCCAACTGTCAAAGGTCTAATATCCAGAATTTACAAAGAACTAAAACAGATTTACAAAAAGAAAAACAAACCCATTCAAAAGTGAGTGAAGGACATGAACAGATACTTTTCAAAACAAGACATATATGAGGCCAACAAACATAAAAAAATGCTCATCATAACTGGTCATTAGAGAAATGCAAATCAAAACCACATCAAGGTACCATCTCACGCCAGTTAGAACTGCAATCATTAAAAAATCTGGAGACAACAGATGCTGGAGAGGATGTGGAGAAATAGGAACACTTTCACATTGTTGGTGGGAGTGTAAATTAGTTCAACCATTGTGGAAGAAGTGTGGCGATTATTCAAGGACCTAGAAATAGAAATTCCATTTGACACAGCAGTCCCATTACTGGGTATATATCCAAAGGATTATAAATAGTTCCACTATAAAGACACATGCACACATATGTTCACTGCAGCACTGTTTACAATAGCAAAGACCTTGAACCAACCCAAATGCCCACTGATGATAGACCGGACAAGGAACATGTGGTACATAAACACCATGGCATACTATGCAGCCATAAAAAAAGATAAGTTCATGTCCTTTGTAGGGACATGGATGAAGCTGGAAACCATCATTCTCAGCAAACTGACACAAGGACAGAAAATCAAATACTGTATGTTCTCACTCATATGTGGGTGTTGAACAATGAGAACACATGGACACAGGGAGGGGAGCAACACACACTGGGGTCTGTTGAGGGGGACTGGGGGAGGGGGAGGGGGGTAGAGAGGTTGGGGAAGGATAACATGTGGAGAAATGCCAGATATAGGTGACGGGTAGATGGAGGCAGCAAACCACATTGCCATGTATGTACCTATGCAACAATCCCGCATGATCTGCACATGTACCCCACAATCTAAAGTACAATTAAAAAATATTTTTAATAAAGAGAATCAGTTATATAAATAAATAAGAATTTAGATTACATATAAAAATAATATCATTTGGACATACAATCATGCATGTTTGTTCAAGCCTGCAGTAAATAACATATAGAAAGAAATAAACTAGAAAAAATGTATCAAAGTATTTTCCTATTTTAAGTAAATTTTAATTGAAAAAATTTGTATTTGTATCTCGTTTCACTTTTATTAAGGTATAACAATAATTGAAACTCATAATAAGTAGCTTGCTATAATGGTATTATATGTCTACTTAGCTATGCTATGGTACCCAGATGCTTGATCAAACATTATTCTAGATATTTCTTTGAAGGTTTTGGATGGAATTACTATTTAAATCAACAAGGTTTCAGTAAAGCACATTGCCTTCCATAATGTAAGTGGGCCTCATCCAATCAGATGAAGGATGACAAGACTTATCAAAATGACAACTCACCTGAGAGGGAGGGGATCCTGCCAACAGGCTGCCCTCAGACTGGAATCGCAACTCTTTCCTACGTCTCCTGCCTGCTGTTCTACCCTGCAGATTTTGGTCTTGGCAGCCCCTACAATGTTGTGAGACAATTCCATAAAACCTTTCTCTCTCTATGGACTTCCTACTGGTTCTGTTTCTCTGGAGAACGCTGACTAATAATATACTTACTTTCTGGGAAATATGAAATAAATGAAAATACTATTGTTTATAATCTAAATTATAAATGTTATATTCATTCAATATAATTGTGTAGGACTATAGTTAAAATGTTGATGTTATTATGAAATATTTTAAAATCTGCATATATCCTAATGAGCATAGGATATAGAACACAGGTAGAGTAAATCAACCTATCAACAAATAAAAATGAAAAAAGTGGATGAAGGATATGAACAGATACTTCTCAAAAGAAGACATTTATGCAGCTAACAAATATATTTAAAAAAGCTCATCAGCACTGGTTATTAGAGAAATGCAAATCAAAATCACATTAAGATACCATCTCATGCCAGTTAGAATGGCAATCATTGAAAAATCAGGAGACAACAGATATCGAAGAGGATGTGGAGAAATAGGAATGCTTTAACACTGTTAGAGAAAATGTAAATCAGTTCAACCATTGTGGAAGACAGCGTGGCGATTCATCAAGGAAATAGAAATACCACTTGACCCAGGATTCCCATTACTGGGTGTATACCCAAAGGATTATGAATTATTCTATTATAAAGACACATGCACATGTATGTTTACTGGGGCATTGTTCACAATAGCAAAGGCTTGGAACCAATCCAAATCCCCATTCATGATAGACTGGATAATGAAAATGTGGCACATATATACCATGGAATACTATGCAGCCATAAAAAAGGACGAGTTCACGTCCTTTGCAGGGACATGGATAAAGTTGGAAACCATCATTCTCAGCAAACTGACACAAGAACAGAAAACCGAACATCACATGTTCTCACTTACAAGTGGGTGTTGAACAATGAGAACACATGGACACAGGGCGGGGAACATCACATACTGGGGCCTGTCAGGGGGTGGGGGGCTAGGGGAGGGATAGCATTAGGAGAAATACCTAATGTAGATGATGGGGTGACGGATGCACCAAACCACCATGGCACGTGTATACCTATGTAACAAACCTGCACATCTGCACATGTATCCCAGAACTTAAAGTATAATAAATTAAAAAAATTTTTTTCTTTGTCTTTGTCAGATTGGGTTAATTAACAAGCTTGTCTTTAAGCTCTTATGTCCTTTCTTCCACTTGTTTAATTCTATTGCTAAGACTTTCTGATATATTTTGCATTTTCCTAAGTGTGTCCTTCATTTCCAAAAGTTGTGATTTTTATTTGTGCTATCTATTTCTCTGGAGATTTTTCCATCTACATCCTGTATCATTTAAAAAATTTGTTTAAGTTGGTATTCACCTTTCTCTGGTGTCTCCTTGAGTAACTCAATAATTGATCTTCAGAATTTTTTTTCTGGTAATTCAGAGGCTTCTTGGTTTGGATCCATTGCTGGTGAGCTAGTGTGATCTTTTGGGGGTGTTAAATAACTTTGTTTTGTCATATTACCAGACTTGTTTTTCTGGCTCCATCTCATTTGGGCAGATTATATCAGAGGGAAGATCTGGGGCCCAAGCGCTACTCTTCAGATTCTT